GTATTAAAAGGTTGGTAAGATTTTATTTAAAAAAAAAACTGTTTTACATCACGTATAATGTAAGACGGCAAGCAAGTGAATATACAGAAAAGATTATATGGTCGTTAGATCTTTCATCTCCTTCCCACCAAATGTTTCATCACTCATGTATCGTGTGTGTGTAGTTATTAAATAAATTATTGGTATTATTCGCATCATTCTGAGCCTATATAATCATGAGCAGCCCACCTTATAACTGTCACAGTTGTAATAGCCATGGCAACAGCCGACGGGATAATTTAACTGTCTGATACAGAATTTAAGATGAGTACTTATACGTCCACATCCCGTCAACGTAAATCTTCTTAAGTTGGTTATTACCACCCCACATCCTCCCCAGTCACACCACATAGTGCATACGCACGCACACGCACACACACACTCGTATATTGAGATACAAAATTAATACACTGCAGTTATACGTCTTAAAATCTAATATGAATTATAACAATATCGACGATAACTGATAAGATAATACCTATAGTGTATACTACCTATGAATATTATTCGTTGACTTGTTGTCTTGCGACATATTAAACGGGTTTATTTTATCTACACTCGTCGTCATCTTCATGTAAAGTAATATACGAAAGTATATCGTCCGATTCGTCCTCTTGTATTAATATTGTAAGTTGCATAATGTATTGTTAAATATTATAATATTATTTCAGATCCGTTATCGTGCATGAGCGATGTATAAAAGATTGTTCCCGTACATTATTCGTCATTTCCGTACTATATATACAGCAGCTGCTGGCTAACATAAGTAATTTCTGTCGATCTTATTGATTCTTCCAAAATCTTCTAATCAAATTCAAAATGTCAACAAAAAGATAATATAATTTTTTAAATCAAATAGTGTAGGTAGAAGGTTAAATTATATAGGTACATCGTCCTTGCAGTATTGTTAAATCTGTTATTATCATCATAGACGTGCGCACGGGGTGTGTAGCTGCACATCCTACAGCAAAAGTTTTATTATATAATATAGTCAATAATAATATTATAATATTTACATCTAATATTCTTTATTTTCATTATCAATAAAACAGTGAACAAAAAAATTTAATTTATAATAATATTAGCGGCAATATTTATTTTACTGAATTGTAGTATATAGGTCAAGTTACCCTAACTAAAATAATTCTGCACACCCTGTGAAAAATCCCACGCCTATGATTATCATCTTTAAGCCCAGTTGTTGTGTATGAATTTTATGATGATGAGCGATCTGGAACATTGCTCAGATATACAGCTCTACCAGGGTTGAAACATCCCCAAATGATTAAGATTTCTACAAAATATGTGTTCGTATATGCATGATTCCGTTTCATATTTGAAATTATTGAAATGAAGGTCGATGACCACAGTGATGACTGGTGAGTGAGTAAAGTCTCTCACATGCTATAATTAAAAATAAAATTTTAGCACCCGCTAAAAAAATATCTGGTTACAGTGTGCTAATTTATTTTACCCACTACTGCAGCGATCTAACATGTCTATAATCGTATTTAAAATTTTCAAAAACACGAGAATGTGGCCGGACATAATATAATATTATTCTAAATAATATGTAGCACACTATTGTGTTGTCAATTGAGAATAATAAAACGCGCTAATATACTCGTCAGCTTCCTCGTCATTTCCATCATCGTTGCACTGTGCAGAATATATTATTATTATGACGCGCCACTGCTACAGTCGATTATTAGGCTATGGACCAATTGCGCCTAAAACAAAATTTGTATTTAAGGGTCAMTATAMCAATTRCRCTGCATATATTTWTGGGTCAGTGTACCAATTGCGCTGCATATATTTTTGGGTCAGTGTACCAATTGCGCTTCTTATATTTTACGGTCAATATACCAATTGCGCTTGTATTAAAAT